CTGGCGCAAAAGAGCGTTTTGTTTGATGGTCACTTTGAGACTAGGAGCCGTCTGCAAAACTGGAATGAGATAAAAAAAAAATGAAGTTATACCTTTATGTATAGCCCTTAATATCTTCTTCGCACCGTATAAAATTGTATCCAAGAAACGTTCTTTATATGGTAAACACACCTTCTTCATGAGGTACAGTTGTCGCTGCTTTTGAGAAATCTATGAGAAACACATCAGCCCTCCTACCATATATATTCTGCAGATCCTTTGCAACATTAATGAATTCGAAACCAGTCAGCTTAATCTCAGAAGATTCGAATTGTCGGCAACAATGCTTAAAATCGTTAAGTATACGATGACTCTCAAGGTGGCGAAAAATATTTGAAAAAGATAATGTGTTCCATAATTTTGCTGCATGTGCATGTAAGGAAAACTGGCATGTAATTTTCAGGCAATTGTTTGTATCCCTTATTGTAGACAGGTGAAACGCATGCCTGCCAATCGAGTGACATCCTTCGTACTATGAATGTTGACAAATCAGTACTATATAGATGATCTTCAGAAACGTGCAATCAAATTATCGATGTCGCGCAAGAATATACTTACGTCCCTTTTAGTCTAAGATGACACACAGAGTTTAGCACCCAACCTCCATTCTTTGTTTGTAACATTTTTGATGAGATGATTTTCCCAATTTTGACATACTTGTAAACAAGAAGAAGAAGAAGAAGAAATAAAACAATGAGGCAGCGAACAAGGAGTAGTCTTTGAGATAGTTTGGTGCCACACGGTGTCTCTGCAATCTCCAAAGTAGAGCTTCAAGCCTAACAAATTTGGGTTCTTGATATGCTTTATCTATATATTTGGCACATCATCATGTCCAACTCTTGCGGTGTACATGATGCACTTGATATATGATTCTGTAGCAGTTTCTTGACAGTAGAAGTGTTGCATGAGTGATTTGGGCTCCATCTCGAGATTGCACCATCAAGCTGTTACCGTGCTTGTTTTGCAACAGTGTGGGATTGAGTCAAACCAGGCTCAAACCGACTTGTAGATAGGTGAAACAACCAAGTTGTGAGCTTGTCTTTCTTCTCTTGTTGCACTAGAACCTGGAAGAGTATCTCCCACCTTTCTCCTATTGAACATACGCATTGCTCTTCAGGTTCTTCTGTAAACAAACCGATAGCTCCTACTGGAGCGTACGCATAAAAAAGATTTACTATTTATATCATACACTCCTCATATCGCTCAGCTCAGAGAGTTTGGCCACAATTTCCGTCCAAAAAGTAATACAGCTGGACTCTTGGACCTGTTGCTGCGTGAGGAAAGCCTTGATATAGGCCGCAAGGTAAAAATTTATCTCTTCCTTTAATGCAGTTCTTTTTTACAGCATGTGCAAATTTGGATCATTTTCAGCAGGCACCTTCCTCGTTCGCCTGGGGCCATTTTCCTGTTACCTTGTGGTATCTTATTCCTTGTTGTACCATATACTCTGTAAACTCTGTTGCTGTGAATCGTGTTCCATTGTTGGATGCTACGTTCTCGTGTAGACCGTGTCTCGCGAACATATCTTGGAGACTTGAAATGACCCTAGAAGCAACTGTTGATCTCAGAATGTTTATCTCATAGTAGCGACTATAGTAGTCCACAACGACTGAAATGGTCTCGTTAATGGGAAGTGGTCCGAGCAAATCAATAGCCAAAACTCCCCAAGGTGGAAACGTTTTGGTTCTGATAAGCCCTGGAGGGCGACTAACTGGCATCCGTAGCAGGTTTTGCAGTACTTCTCACCATCTTTCTCCATTAATTGTACGCTACCATACTTTGCTGCGAAATTTCTGTTTAGTTCCAAAGATGCCTTTCTGGCCTTCGTTAGCTTGGGATAACACTCTGGGATAACACTCTGGCTCTGAGGTTGTATGGAATAACGATTCTTGTCCTCCTGGATACCATTTCCAAAGCAGCACAACTCACCACTGCAGCGTGGAAGGTATTGTTTGTAGGTTAACTGCTTCGCGGTTTTCTGTTATGTACTCTGACTGTACTATGCTCTTCATCAAACGTTTAGGCTTCTTCTACTCTTCGAGCAGTCATATCAAAAGGGGTTGCATTCATTGCCACAAATCTAACATGTTCTTCGGCTTATTATGACTGAAGCAGTTTCTTTTAATCCCTGCTGTCCTTTAAAGGGGGTCTACAATGGTATTCGGCCCAGGCACGTCCTTGACCTTGAGTTTGTAGGGCAGCATTCGCAACACCCACCTTTCGATGCGGGCGCAGGGTTTCGGAACGTAAATCACTGTGGCTTGTGATCTTCTAAACGGTGAGATGACACGACTTACACTTATTAGTGGAACGTTTTACGTCCAATAAATCCAAAAAATGACTCCACTGTAAGGAGTTAAATTAACCTCACTAGAGGAGTAGACGTATAACTCCTTGAAAATTACTGTCTAGCTGTCAGGCTACTACTTGCACAGCTGGTGACTCTTCATGCTCCATCCTTTTTGCTTTTTTAGCCAATAAAACTCCCAATCCAACAGGGCTAACACAAGCAATCACTTGGGTAGGGGCATCTTCGTCGAAATACCCCAAAGCAATAGTCAAACCTCCCTTCCTCTCGTCTTCTCCAAAATGAAAGGGTGTTTTTGACTTCGTCACGCGTTGTATTAGGGCTCAGATTGTCGCCAGATCAAGTATAAGCTAAGCTGGCTACACTAGTTTAGAAGTCCAAGAAACATTCTGGTTTCTGACACGGTTAAGCGCCCTTTCTTCTCCTACACAGCTTTCAATTTCTCGGCTGTATAGCCAATTGCGGTCCCGGATAATACCCCGCCATGCTGAACTGGCGCTTTTGTTAACCCACGTTCCTCTAATCTCTTGATCACTTTCTCCCGCCTCGAATAGTGCTCTTTCTTGTCTTGATCATTCACGATGATGCCATCTAAAATGATGTTGTCCCTCACCTGCGAGTGCTCAGTCTGGAACTCGTATTGAAAGATACTGTTCCGAGGAAGAAATAACTCAAAACAGCTATCTCTTATATCTGAGCCAAGAGAAAATGATCTGAACGGAACGCAGTGTAAGTAGCGTTTGTTGTAACCTCTCTGGACTCAGGAGAGAGTTCCATCTGTTGATAACCCCATTTAATTTTATAAATGGTCCTTAATAGGTCCAGTTTGGTGAAGACATTGCAGCCGCTGATGCTATGAGTAATCTCATTTACATTGAGGATCGGGTGTCTGGCTCTTCGTATTGATTCGTTAGCTCCTCTCATATAAATGATGAACATCATCCCCCGACTTCGGTGACTGGGTTGACCCCTGTAGTGGGTCCTTGTACAGGCTCACTGATGTCTTGAGATCACAACCTCCGCTTTGGCTTGGTTAATAGCTGAACAACTGGGTCATGATGCTGCACGGTCTTTCAACTTCCTGACGCAGCTGAAAACGTTTGGTTACTTACCTTGAAGGACCTCTCCGATGGTCTTTGAGTCTCCATTTCCCTATCTTAAGCAATTTTAGACGAGTTGCAGTGCCTCTCACTTAGAGGTGATCTCCCTCACTATTGATCACACGAACTTGGGAAGTAATGCTGGAGTGGTGTCTGAGGTGCTTAAGCTTTGGGTTTCCTTGCTACTTGTGCGAGCTGATTTACACTTAACTTTGCTCTTCTGCATCCACTCCCATGTTTCTCTGTCAATGATGTTGGTGCCCACTCTGGAATCGAAGATCATATTCAGCTTACAACCCCCTAACAGTGACTGGTACTGGTGCATTTGCAAAGGATTTCATCGTGAATTTGATCTTGATCCGTGCCCTCGCCGTGGTCGAAATCTTTCGACGCTTGTCTACGTGTGATCGCAAACTGTGGAATTGCTTCCCCTGGTGCTTGTATTTGCTGACTGAAACAGTACCTAGCTAGTGTACGTGGTGCCGACTTTTGGACGAAGTATGCGTTCAAACTGGCATCGACCGCTTTCCGGTAATCGTTCGCGTCTCCAGTGTTCGGGAGTGTAAGGAAGTTATTTTGGACATCACTTCCCTTCAGATGGGGATATAATGCACGTTTCCTTTGCCTGTTATATTTTCTTAGACCTTCGCCGTGTGCAAATAATCGAACGCTGTCAACCATGGCTTCCACTCGCAGCCCAAGCTTGTTTTGGTCTCTGTATTAGTTGCAGGTTCTAATATGGTGTCTTTCGTCATCATCTATATTTCTCGCGAAAAGTCTCCGCTAAATAGCTTTTTCGGGTCTGCTAATCCTCGTCGCTAATAAATGTCGTGTGCCGATCTAGTCGGTAACTAAAGGATGATTAGACGGAATAAAGGCAAAACGATCAGCTTTATTCAGCCAATACACTCTTGGTCCTTGACAACCACACTCAGACCTTCCTTGACCTAATAAAGGGGATCTGGGGCCCGTTTCTCCAAAGTCCCGATAATTAACGGGCCCGGTAAGCTGTCTCCGTTTACATTAAAGATCGAGGTTTCAATAGTTTTGCATCTAGCATGATAAAACTATCAGTTAGTGAAACAAAATGTAGTAATCTGCTAGCCAGGACTCGCGCTCTTATTCTTTATATTTCGATGTAAATATTTGATTTCGGGCCCGAACAGTTACCGGGACTTTCGAGAAACGGGTCCCTGGGTCCTAAATACACTGTAACTACCAGTTTACATGCATATGGTAACTTTACAGGGAAATCAGCCCATGCTGTCGTTGAATATGGTTATGAAAGAGACATGCTCAGTTCAGTTTTCCGATTGGACGGTCATTGACTTGACCGCAACTGGAAAATGGCGCCAAAAACAAAGATCTGGGTCTTTTGGCGTGTACTGTCACGATTATTTGCTTGAATTTTCAGACATCGCGGGAAACCGCCGTTTTTGGTAAATAGAAACTTCCTTGCATATTCACCGCCCCACAAACAGCTTGGGACGGGGATAAACATGACACACGACTCAGTTAAAATTTCGTTTAAACTTTTATTGAATTATTCACTTTCAGGTCTAAATTTGGAGCAAGCTGGAACCATTGCAGTGATCCTCTGTATGTCTTCTATACCACTGCATACATCGATGCTCAGATTTCAATAATAACGGCTACGCGAACTAAATGCGATCTGCCTGTGGTTACAACACAACATTTCATTTTATGTACCAAACGTAAAATCATACAGCAGTATCTGTTTCGGTATAACACGAAATTCATGCGTGATATAATCACGACTAATGACATGACGTAACAATCGTTGATTAGTAAGATCATTACTACTAGTTGCGAAACTTGAGAGACACCAACGGGTACGTGAATATTATTGTTATTTACGGTTTGTTTTCACATTTCTTGACTGATTGTAGTTCCTGTTGATATCTTTACGTAGACTTCGAATTTTTATATCTTCTGTATTTCTGTACATTTTGGACGAAATAAACCATGTGCAGTATTTGAAACCTTGGCGACTCGCAGCTAGCAGTACAGTATCTTTGTCGCAGCAGACACGGGCTCTCTGTTCGTATCAGGTATTCTGTAAGTACTTAAGAGGTGCATAATGTAGCGTCTATGCGTGGCTGGAATGGTGACATAGTATTTAAAGAATGGACTAGAGAATAAGAGGCTTTTTTGTGTCTGATTACAAACGACCGTCAATCCACTATCGTATACTTGGAATTCTCTTTGTGAGTATAGACTCTACACTAAGTGAACTTCTTCCTCTTCGTCCACTTTCAAGTCACAAACTCCCGCAAATCTGTCCATAATAACTTGTTGTTTCGCTTTCGGAGAAAAATTGTCTTCGTCGGCTTTTATAAAGCTCTGACGATCTGTCAACACCCGTTCCAAGTTTCTGAGAAGTTCGCGAGGTCTTTTCTTGGCAAACTTTTCTGCTTCCCTTAGTACAAATCCCGAGTCAGTGATAGTCTTATGCTGATGCTTCCAAACTTGGTAGATATGAAGGTAAATTGCTGCGTAGAACTCCGAAAAGACGGGCAGAACTTGACTACGACGATTGCATTCCCTGAAAGAGAGAACTCCAGAATTGTTCCCACATTTCCAGAATTTATCTCTATTTTCAAGACTTTTTCCAGGTCTGGAAAATCTCGATGCAAATTTTAAGACTTTTTCAATAATTCACGACTCTAAACGCAAGCAGCCCAGCCCGCCATCTGAATTAAGACGACAAAAATTGCATGGAAAAATAAGACATGAGCCGTGCTATCCCGGTTTTCCTGACTGGCTCACAGGCGACTGTCTCTGTTGGGGTAGGTCTTTACATTAAAGGCTTTTTCTTATCGATACAAATACATAAAGTACATCACAACGAAACAGATTGAATCAACTGTAACCTAGCGAAATGACTTTGAAGTAAATGGCTTGTAACCAAAAATGACTACTCACTTATTTAATTTTCCCTCTCTGAGTGTTTGAAGTGCTATTCTTGTGATGTTGATAGACATGATGGCAAATGGGAAGTTCTGTGTTTCATGTTGAGAGAGCTTGTAAATGTCCACAGCGAGACCATGTGTCCGATGTTCTGTCACTAAGTAAAGTGTTGTCAGTAAACCAAGAAATCCACATCCACGTAAATCTGTTGCTGGGTCGAGTCCTTTAAAGAAATAAAGGGAATTTTATAATAAGTTAAATCATACACATTACCTTCCATTGATAATCATAATGAGCATCACTGCACTTGTTTTTGCAAGAAGGCAGAAGGTGACTACAGGATATCTGCTAGGCATCCAACATGCAAACGTGGCGAAAACTTAATACAAAATTCACAGCGCAAACTGCATATTAGTTAGTTATCTGCTAGCAAATAACTGACTAATCTACAGGTTGCGTATGCCATGCAAGATTTCCTAGAGCAATGCAAAACAGTGTTCCCTGTGAAGGTTAAACAAGTCTCAGTTTCAACATAACAATCATATGTAGGCACTGTGGATTACACAGGCTCAGAACACTGGGCTCCTTAGAGTATAGTCTTACATTATGCATGTGAAAATCAATTTACGAAAATCACACAAAATTCTTCATAACAACACCACCTTCATCACGGAACCAGTGTCAATAAAATTGGAAGTACACAAATTTCCTGTTCTCTTCAATGCTGTTGCTAAGAACTGAGACTTTTATTTGACTTTGTTATGGCCATTTTTGCCATGCATAAAATATACACGTAAACTGTGCACCTTGAAACCCAATCAACTCCCAGTGGTTGCCATAGCGAGGACAGTCAAGCTTTGTTCCTGTCAGTTTCTTATATATGGTTTGCAGCACATGATTGTGCATGGGCTCATCATTCTTGAACATGCACAGTGCAAGTGCAAAGATGAGGTTTCGTTCCATATGAAGGCTACTGTTCATTGATGGAGGTCCAAACAGTTTATTGGTCACAGCAGCCATGCCACGGTGTTTAATTGTTGGTTTGATGTGCGACATGTGCTGTTCAAGATAGCTTGCTGTTTGACAATGACGCACTGCATCCTGGAAAGTAGTGAGAGGAGAACGACTGCCAGCCTGGCCATTTCCTATTAAATACAACAGACAGTCACTGGTGTAAATGTGGCATCACAGGCTTACCATCCTCTTTCTTAACCCTTTTACTCCTACGAGTGGCTTAAGTAAGAAATTAAAAAAAAAACAAACAAACATCTCGAATCAATTTCTTTCAGTAATGGTACATCTAGTACTATTGAAAAGTTTATCCAAAGGGGTTTGATTTGAACGGTATTAAATAAGATAGGATTTTGTCCACAGGTAAAGAGATGGAAGGACAAACCATCTTAACACACATGTAGTTTGCTTTAGAAGAGAAAGGGGTTTAAGTGTTATTGACCAAGCATGCAGTCAAAATAGCTGGATATTGGCCAAGTTCTGTTTTGCATTTTAAAGGGACAAGATGAAGTCAAGTTCACTAAAAACGCAAAAAAAAATAATGAGGCCATCTTGACAAAACAAGTTTGGCCAATAAATGATTTATTATCTGGCCAAAAAAAGACATTTTTCTAGCTGCTTGAGTAGCCAATCAGAACTCAGTATTCTCTTCATCTTGCTTGGTTTTAGATTTAGCCCACAATAATAAAAAATATTGTAAATTTGGTTATGAACTGGCAGTTACCCACTATTTTTTTTGATTAAATAAAACTGGAATAGATGTTACCAGCCAAAATTAAGTTCAGAGGGTGTTTCTCAATTTCCTTTGCCCTATAGCTTTAATTCATGAATAATCAGGGCTAGGAGGCAAAGGAAATTGAGAATCAGCCTAGGTTTAAAATTTTAACCTGAATTCAATTTTGACCTGTAACACAGATGTCAAGCAACTTAACAACCTTAAATATAAAAACACCAACCAAACAAAAAACAACAAACACATCAAACAAACAACAACTAAGTTCTTCAATAAATGAACAGGATCATGATTTGAGAAATTTATTCTGTATTCTTTTCATCTCTTCAAAAAGCCGTAAAACTGGTTGAAAACATACATGGCCCCACCATTTATTGAGAATGTGTACAGTTCACCACACAAACAAAGCCAGTGGTAGCAGATAAGCCACTAATTTCTCGCAGTAAAGTATGGGGCCCTGCAAGGTGCTCAACTTTATCAGAACGAGTCCTGTGTCTTTTTTGGTCAGATTTATGGCTGAAGCAATAGGGGCAATTAGGCCCTAATTCAAGGGAGCAGTGTTCTCACCAGACCGCGGCCTTGTAGCCTTGATTCCCGTAAGAAAATCTGAGATGGTGCATAAAAAGCCAAAAAGGTGTGCCTGTTAGGGCGCAGAGGTATGCTATTCATTCATGAGTCAAATGGACCTTATAACATTTACAGTTAAGTAGTTTTAATGGTCAACCTAACACCCCAGCATTTTGCTTGGTCGAAAGAATAAAAAACATGATATCAAAAGATTTAAAGTCTTTAATAATTAAAGACTTTAAATCTTTAAATATAATTATTCTATTTCCTTAACTTTCGTTGGTCCCATGTACATTGTGAAGATTGGTGCATGCATCGTTACACCCTGTCAGCCATATTGGATCAGGTAGGTACTTCATGTAAAAGATCATTTTGGAATGCGGGCTCAGGTTATTCATACTTTGCCCTTCTCTAACGTAGGGTCTGCCGGATTATGCCGGCATAATTTTGAGCATAATACTATATCTGGAGCATCAGGCATAATGCTGGTATAATACTAATACTTTTGGAGCATAATGCCTCTGTTTCTGAAAACTGTGAGAGGTGTATGCAAATTTTGCCAGCAACTCACCCTTAGCGACGCTCTAGAATGTACAAAGTTGATAAAAGTGGGAATATTTTAACTTGATACGTTAGACTCTTACCCAGTGCATTTTGCTATATAAGTTCATTGGAGAAAGACATAATAGTAAGCCTTTCAATGCCTCACAATTTCCGACCTTTCGCTTGCTCATCAAATGTTTAACTGAATAATTATTGTCTAACAATTCTTTAAAAAATGAAAGACTAGGAATGTTTATTAATAGATACAGGCCTATGGGGGGGTGGAAGTGTCATTTTAGTCCGGCATAATTTGAGTACAATACTTCCAGTCGAGCATAATTTTGAGCATAATATCCTAGTTTCACGGGTGACGCCCGAAAGCATAATACTCTATTTTTCGAGCATAATCCGACAAACCCTACTCTACAGGGCTCCTATTTCTCAACAGAGGGGGGCCTGGGACTCCCCAAGGCAAAATCCTGGTGAGAAGACTGAGGGGGAAATGAGGTCAAGATTCTGTAATTTACAGTATGGATTGAAAAAAAACGTAACTGAGAAGATGTTTATTTTATTGATGAGTCCTAAAGAACATGTTACACCAGTAGATTACTTAATTACAAAGGATTTCACAGGGCTAAAAAAACTTCATGGCCATTTTTTCTTAAGAAACAAGCAAAAGGTCAGGGGTGGAGGGGGATCCGTAACTTAACATAATCTACATCTTTTTGTGACTTTTTTTGTGGATGTACTTGCTGCCAGACAACTAAAAGGAAAATGACAGACCTTGAATTTAAACTTTTTCCATACAGCAAGTTGACTGACTGACCAACAACTAAGTCATGTACAGGTGAAATTGTTGCGCAGCCACCAGTTTTCACTGCCCACTATTTTAGGCTGTGTGCACTGCACCTGACCAGCCTGGGCTGCCTGTGCCAGAAGCAAGCCGCTTTTGAGATTTAATGGATGTAAATATGTATGACTTTGTATATCACCAAACTGGCACTCGAATCAAGGCCCTTGGTTTGTACATGTAGTCAATTGCCTCAGAAAGAAAACATGCCTTTTTATCATTGGAAGGGGAAAGTAAATATTTTATCCTATAGAACACTCAACTGTCAATAAAGTGGAATGTGGAAAAATTAGTGTTTTGTGTAGAAAGCCATGTTTTTGCAACCAAAGAGTTCAAAAGCAAGTGAAGGTTATACATGAATCTAATCCTGGAACTCTACAGTAAATAAATCCGATGTTTTGGCTACGTTGCACATGGATCCAGGCTTTGTTGTATTTATTTTACTGACAGAATGTTGTAGAGCTGTTCCTCTTTGGTAGTAAAAAGTTCTATACATGTTAGAAGCAAAGATTGAGGGCAATTTTTTTAAACCAGTGAATACGGGAATGCACATTAAATGAATGGGTTATTGAACACAATGGCAAATTCATTCTTTTGCTCATGCTTGCTCACTCACTCCATTGCTTACACGTAAAATTTTTCCTCATACGTACATTGTAATAGCAAAATTTGACGTAGGTGATTGTGGTAATCTTGATGGAATACTAACAACCACCAAGATTTTTGTGTTTGAGACCACCTGTTGTTTTTATACTAGAACATTCACTTTTGGCTGTCAATTTGCTTTGTGGGTGATTGGGCAAAGTTTTTAGTTAGGAGCATGGTTGATTAGGATAATTCTTATGAAACATGTATCTCTGATCACGAATGAGTGCCCTAGAGATAATTACAACACCAGTAAGTGGTAAGATGTAGTTAAATTACCCAAAATCAATTAAGTGCATCCAAAGGGCTGGGTCTCTTTTTCATCTGTCTAGTGAAGCTGCAACGAGGATTTTGTTATTTATGTCATTCTTTGTTAAATCATTGCATCCATAACCTTCACTTTGCGGTGGAAACTATTAGTAAAAGGCCTACATTTAGTACCTGGCTGTACAGTCTCTACCAGATCCCACTCCATCTGAGCTTGCTCAAGTGTTGTTGGAGGAGAAGGCAACTTGCGAACCCCTGGTGGAATGTTGTCTTTATCAGATCTTCTCCTCCGTTTACCAGGCCTTGTGTACCCTGATGTTGGACTGACAGATCGTGCTCCTAGTTCAGACTCACCAGCAACATCTGGATTGGCAGAATATCTGTTGATTTCTGATGCACTGGACCTGAGCAGCCAAAAGAAAATATATCATACAGTGGAATGCTGAGTTTTAGAATGCCTGATTTTTGGAAAATCACAATTTTTCAAACTGAAAGTTGCTCCCTTGGATTTGCTTCTGCACATTGTCCTTCTTTGTTCTAATAAGAAACACTATAATTGTAAACCAGATGTGACTTGTTGAAATCTCCACTCTTTTAAACTCCTGATTTTTCAAACCAATTTTGCAATTTTGCATTTTCCTTACAGATTAGTTCTAATAAGACATAATAAAAAGGTGAGGTGAGGTGACACATGCTCGAGCAGAAAAGCCTGGTGACCCAAGAACCAAAGGGGACAGCAGACTGAGATGAAATCATAAGAGACTAGTTCCAAATCCAGAGTGAACGAATCATGCATTGCCTTCACAATGCATATTATGATTGGCCAATGTCTGGAGTATCGGCAACAAACTAAGCTCACGTTACTTTTAAGGGTCCGTCTCTCAATAAGGGAAAAAAATAAGAAAATACATGCAAATAGGCGAGTGACATGATATTTCAAGTTAACTACAGTTTTATTCTCACAGTACAATCTTCTACATAAGCCTAAGGAAGGATAGAATCATGACATTTTTGAGGCGTTTGTTCCTACCATTGCTGATCATGGCTTTCTACACACATTCATTTTTCATTTTAAGATCTGTAGTGGCAATTTTCTTAGTTTTTGAACTTTCTCTGCACATTAGTTATTTTTCTGTTCGTTCTCAATAATTTTCAGTGTATTAAACTCGTCACTTTTCTTTTGAACTTACTTGAGCTGTTTTTTGAGAATGAGGGTTCCCTACAAACTGTCACCAATCAAAGTTTTGACATGTTTATCACTGGACGTTCCATTTTTTATCTGCACAACTCCCCTCCCCCTCCCCCCCTCCTGCTAAAAATGATGGAAATCAGAACCCTCTAATTTTTGTCGGCACACTTTGAATAGCCCATTTTACAGTTACAGTTAGAAAGGAGGCTGGAGTTGACCTTGTTTCGATACAGCCCTTCTTGCTTCATTAAGTAAATCAAGTTGTTGTTATGCTAACTAGTGTTTTTAAGCAAAATTTACCTTAGAAAAGGAAGGAGGTTTGTATCAAAACAAGGTCAACCTCAACCTTGCATTCACCCAAAGGCTAGGACACCAAGCCCACAACTGTAAAATGGTCTATTATGAAGTCCAAAGAGGTCATGTGTTGTTGGCAACTTTGAAAAATTTGTCTAAGGGGTCCAAATTTTGTCGGCTAAATTGAAGAAAAAATCGGAACCCCTTTGCTCGAAAACCTTTCATCCTTGGGGCCGATAAAACATGGAACGTCCCCACTCTTATCTGGAGCAAATTCTACTTGGTAGTGCTTAGGTACGTTACACTAGGATGAAACTTTTATTGAAGCATAGAGAGGTTTAGCAGCTGTTCGGTCTAATATTTCCACCCAGCCCCATACCGTAAACTATTTGTGTGAAATAGAAAGTGCGAAAATCTTACCGCCTTACCTTCTTCGAACGTAAAAACGCTTACTAAAGCAACAGGAGCCAATGAGCAAATGGCTCTATTCAAAATAAGGAAGCTCAACAAAGTAATTTACTTTCTTTATTGACTCTATTTAAACGAACTCACCTTAGTTTTTTCTATGAGATCTACAGTAACTTTTAACCACAAAATATATGAGCTATCAAACAGCCATCACGCGTTCAATATAACGACATGTGTACGAGAAAGCAGCGGTACAATATTTTAATACTGAAACACAAACAAGTCCTTCAAATTAAAACAGTCTGTCATTATGTTCTTACCCTTGACTTGATGGAAGACTGCTTGGCAATCCCTCTGTTTTAACTGGGAGCTGAGAAGGACGGTGGGAAGAATCTGAGTTGTCACGAGAGTAATTTAATGTGGTAGGTAAATGTTTTGTTTCAAAAGATGGAGTGGTACTTTGAAAAGCGCTTTCAAATTCGAAATCGAATTCATCTCCTTTATGGTTTTGCTGAGCGGAAGCACGCTGAAACGCTCGTTCGGCTTCTTCTTCAAAGTCATCTGCGGTAGCCTTGGGTTTCGAAACACTAGTCATTATAAAAGTCGCTAATATCGTCGATCCTTCAAATTAATAAGGCGCCATTTTCGATCAAGAAACGAACGACTTCTCCCCTACCCCCGCTGGGAGATTTTGAACTACTGGCATATGGTAGGGGTGAGAGTTAAAAAGGAATTTTATGCGTGACAGATGAAACACAAAACTTAACAATTGTATGAACATAAGAAATACGTTTAAGAAAACAAATACAATGTTAGAGTTATTTCTCTGGTGTTGATTTGTGATCATCTTAAAATAATAATTTATACTTCCTTGTTCCCCCCGAAGGTCCCGAGGCCTCCGCTGAAGGTAAGCCTAAATACCCAGAATGCAACACCATCGCTTTACATGAAGTAACGCCAACACGCCAAAGTCGTTCTCTTCACTGGAGTGAACTTTCGTTTCTCAACTGTCCGTCTGCCGTTGCGTTGTTTTTTCACCTTATGGAGACATTTCGAGCCAGAACTTTTTCGGGATCTGGCGATGATGTGTATGAAATCGAGAATGGAACTGAGCGATCTGGGCGAACTGTCTTGAATGAACATATAAGTCGTTTTAATGGACTCGATAGTGATACTTTGGACAATCGATCTCCGAAATCCGCCGATCAGGACAGCGACGAACATTCAATACACAAAAAGAATCCCAAAGACTACAGCTATCTCTACACATATTTATCCACCACATTGTTTGTTATTGTCTTAATCGTAGAGAACATTTTTCAGTTCAGATTGTTCATAGATTCAAACGCCTCTATATCCTTCTACTGGTTAGAAAGTTGTGTGATTGCTCTATTCTTCAGATTTTGGGGACGAAGGCGCATACGTAGGTTAGTATAAACGCAAAATTTTACTATCTATGTAAAATCACTACCTAGTAAAAGTTATGGGGCACTTGAAAAACCCCGACCATTTGTGGGAATGGTTAAAGAACGAAGCAAAGGGAATCGAGTCACTCTTTATTCTTGATGGATATTTAACAATCGAATCGAGGTGAATAGTGGTTAAATATTTACCGAGCTACGAAGTGGCGAGGTAAATATTCCTAAAGCCACTATTCACCGAGATTGAAAAGAATAATAATTGTTTTAGTATATACACACGAAGTGATCTCAACAAAATCAGAGAGAAAACCCTTAAAAAGTACGATTTGATTGACAGATCAGGTCAGCTAGACACAGTTTTAAAATAGATCTTTGTAGAATTTTCAAACATGGCAATTCACAAGCTTATCACTTTGCAAACAACAGCGTAATGACTTAAATGGACCCGCTAAAAGTTTGAATTGTTTCCTTACCTGAGAAGAAAAGAAGAGCCTTGTTGTTTTCTGTTGACTCGCCAAGAATATAGCTGAAAAGGTTTGTTTTGTCGTTCTTCGCATGAAGTTCTGACAAAAATGGCGATTCGGCTCCTAGAGGCAAGATATCGTCTTCATGTAGCATTCTTTCTCGTGTTTACTTGAAACGTAGAATTTCTGGAAACATTTGCTTTCAAATTTGTTAGCACTAAATAAACTTCGTTTTTGGGCCAAATTTTTCTTGTTAGGAAATGCTGAGTTCATGAAACGGCCTCTTCTAGGCGAATAAACGGGAGTTGTAAACAATCCATCTACCACAAAACTCAACAACAGTAAATGGAAAAACGCCGTTTTGAATCCTTCGAAGTCTTTTCTTGCCTGAAAAAAAGTCAGCCCTAGGATTTTGTCAACTTTTAAAAGATCTTTCTCTAACAAAATGGGAAAAAAACCGAGCTCACACATTATCCGTTCTCCAGGAGGTGAATATTGTTGAATAGTCCGAGATAGCGAGCCAATCAGATTGCTTAAATTGCCAAGATCACTGAGTTTGTATATGCTAATGTCTGTTAAAAGGGCCTGTGGTATTATTGTACACAGTCTCACGTGATGCACTTTCCTTCTGCTATTCCCGGGGTAACTACCCTGGGGAATTCCTAGGTACTAGCTGTGACATTACTAACAGCTGCCCTTACAAAAATATCATTTTTAACAACTAAAACTGCAGCATTGGAGGAGTTCAATATTGTTTAAAACAATAGGGTCGTATATTAAATTTTATTTTTGCTGGAAAAAACAACACACAGTAGAACCTGGGTAACTCAAACTCTGAAGGGAAACTGAAAACAGTTTGAGTTACTCGGGGTTTGAGCTATCAGCGTCAATTGAATATTCAATTTGCCTCTTAAATACTGGCAATATTGATAGTTTCAGCATTTCCGTGTGTATAGTAAGGGGCAAATTATTTACTTTTTTCATAAAAAATGGTGACATGATTGTGCATTTTTTATTTTACGATAAAATGTGGTATGTTCATTGCACCAATTAAAATAATATTGCTGAAGAGTTAGTTTTAGTGTTTTCACTGATATTACATTCATTCATTCATTTTTATTGTAAATATGAATAAACCAATAAAAATGAATGAATGAATGAGTGAGAGTGTTATGGTAAATTATGTTTGGTTATTAAGCTCTGTGTGTGGGAAAACTTGCAAGAATTTCTTCATGCCCCAGCTCAAAGCTTAAGATGTTCAGTGTTGAGCTTGACCCTGCCTGTTTAATTAAACATGTTTTACTGTGTTTTACCAGAGACAGTTGTTGCCCTTTCCAGGAGATCCTTGAACAAGCATGCAAGCAAACAAACAAAAAAAAAAATGCTCTCCTCCCAGCCTTATTGCAATGGCATTGAGGTTCAGTTTTCCTTTTTTGGGCTGGAAAATTCTAAGCTGTAAAGCTGCAAGGGTTCATTAAAAGGTGAATTAGGCAGCTGTGTTTGGATAGAGTAACCAACTGTATCAACTAGGTTTGAATGAATCCTCCTTTGATTTCTTTAATTTAGTGAAGAAAAAGGAGTTTAGTTTTGGATCAATCTACTCAAAGCTTTTTGTTGGCAGTTGTGGCTTATTTTTGTTGTGAGTGCTTGTTCCATACCCCAGTGTTGCATTGCAAGTCATAATAATTGCTCATTCCCCACCCACCTACCCTAAAAAAGTCAGTATTCAGCATCAATTAATGTTGAACGACAGAAGTGCGGAGATGAGAAAAAAAAACTTGGTCGCCAGTTGGGGCCCTTATCAAAAAGTTAATCTTGGACCCTGCATTTCTCAAAAGGCCCAGCACTTTTTTGGGCCTAGAAAGCTGTTTTACATGTAATACATAATGTATCTTTGCTGTTACCGGTACTATGCATTCAAGATCAAAGTTTCAATAATTTTGCAAACGATACAACAAAACAATTTACTATCAGTTAGGGAAGAAAAATAGAGTGGTTTGTGTGGTAGGAACTGTGATACTTACGGATCCTTTGTTGAGAAGTTGTGATGCAAAAATTGAGAGCTTAATGCCTTGTGTTTCAGCAAAATTTGACAATTACTTTTACTGTTAAGCTACAGTGGTGGTCTGTCTCTTAAGGGAGGGGGGGGGGGAATGTTACGGGCCCGCAGTAATTGGCGGTGACCCTGCCAATAATTGGCGAATCTAATAAAAAATAATAAATAAAATAAAGTAAGTATTTCAAGTTCTCTCACTAAAAGAATCATTGCTAAGGATGGCATAAGGAGGGAGAAGTAGAAGGTTAAGAAAAGTAACTGAAGAATAATTTACATGAGCTTGCAGGGCATTGTACACCTCCTATAACTTGTTGTTTTTCATTTTAGTTTCAGGAGCCAGGCAAGCCATTTTCTTCCTGTTCTCTTCTTACATGTAGCAGTTGTTACATTGTTTTCAGTGGATTTTAATCATGGAAACTATGGTAGTTCAGGAGGCTCAGAATCTTACTTGGTTTGTATTGAATTACAGTCATAATAATTATTATGTAACTGAAGGGGTAACTGGAATAAGGCCTTAATTAACCACATAATACATTTTTCTTCTTGGCCATTTAAGGCTGGTTTTCACTAGCAACAGAGTTGGAGATGGGGTTGTAATCAGAAGTGTAGAGCTTATGATCTTTTGAAAACATGCTGATAAGTGATTGGGTTATCCTTCTGCTTCTGCTACCCGACTCTGGCAATCGGGTTTTCAATAGATCATAAGCGGAACGTAAGCGACAGAGTCAGAAGAAATGGAAACGTTCTGGTTCCTGTGACTCTGATTGTGTGGTTCCAGAAAATATCGATACCCCCACCACTGAAGACACTTTGATTTGCACCCCTTAACCCCCTAGGATTTTCTGTTCCAATGGGGTCTTTGATGACCCCCCTTCCCCCCAGGAATTTCCAGAATTTTTAAACGGGGACTTCCTCAAGGCAAAGTGGTTTTGGTTCTTAAAAAAAAAAGAAAATGAATACTAACTCATTCACAAAAATGTGGTAGAATTTATTACAACAGTGCAAACTTTTGTCAAGCTCATTATTCACGTAAGGTTTTGGCTGCTTCGCCATCAAATTTCCAAATTATGTCTGTCTTGTTTTTATGTAACCTTATCAGCTGAAACATTTGGGTTGTAAAGTTAATCGTTCTAGGCTTTTGTAATCTTACTCCAGCGCAAGCATTATGAAGAGAACTAAAGTTTCACTTACTTAAACAACTTTGCAAATGATAGCAAAAAAACATAGAAACTTACAAGGTCCCTTTCTGGCTGTTTATTTGTTGACACATTTTGTCAGTTTCTTTAGGTTGATTCTTATTTAAGGACCAAAAACTTCTCTAACACATGCCAACGGGCCAGGTTTCGTGAACATAGTCACGATTGCAAGAAGTAATTTTACTAGCCAGGTAGCTGGGCCTTCTGAAGATCAAGCAAGAAATGGAAACGAAAGTGCACTTTTTATGAGTTTTAGTTAAAACTACTACTCCGAATAACCACTGATAAGACATGAAACGTATCAAAAATGTGTTTTCGTTCTGCATGTGAAGGTAGCGAAAAGTGATGTGTACTATATTTTTGTTTCCTTTTATGCCATGATACAACTATCACTATACATTATTTTGTAAGTGAAAATTATTTCTTTTAATTTTTTAAATGAGTTGTCGGAATGAATGGCTAAAATCCACTGCTTGATTAAATATGGGAAAAATATCTTGAAATCAAGGGGCAAACATTGTTGGGAAGTAAAGAAAGAAATTCATGAATATGGACAGTTTTATTGAGGAGAATTTCAGTAAGAGCATTTTAACCCTTACCGTGTGTATTAACCCTTAGACGTACATGTACAATGGGGGGGGGGGCTGATTGCCATGCCCCCTCCCATAAGGCTTTTCTGATTTTTTTCCTAGAAGATAAGACATCAGCACCTGAAGTTTTCTGTAGATGTTCGTTTATCCCTTGTGCACATCTTGAGACAAGTTTAGTGGTTGTCAGTTACTATGGTTATGAGATATGACGCCATAAGTAGCAGGTGGTCAAGCCATTTTTGAGTGAAAATGCATGCTGTTTCAACTTTTTTCAGGAATAAAAGTAAACCTGTGGACAAAATGATGCAAAGTAATTATTTATGTGTTATTTTACATGTTCAGCGCCAGAAATTATTCATTCTCACTGTTTTTACCTGATTTCTAATAAATCCAAGATGGTGATTATGAGACCTCCAGCAGCACCACCACCCATAAAATATACCTCATCTTGTAGAGAAGATCAAAGGTGTTCCACTGAAGGCAAAATTGTTTCAAAATATTGCAACTTAACAAAAACTCAAGGGGAAGGGGGGTCCATCCCCCCCCCCTATCCGACCCCCTTGTGCCGCGGAGGGGGTATGGCTTTAATTGTACGTCTGAGGGTAAGGGTACGTGTATGTCAAATGCAACATATTGGGAAAATAGTCAGACTGTAGTTTTTACCGCAGCAACTAATAATACAGTAATTAAGCTGCTTGTTAATATAGAGGACAACAATTAAAAAGCCGCAATAACTTGACTTAACGGATGATGACTGTCTGTAAAGTCCTGGATTGACTGTACAAAAACTGATCACACTAAAGAATTTTTGCCCATGGACTGTGAAGTAAAAGGCATGGCTGTATGCAAGTCTACATTATATGGATAAAAGGATAACTTTTGCCTGTTCACAACTGACATATTTTTGGAAAACAGTTTTAGTTTAGAATAAACTGATTTACAAATATGACAAAATTGAAGTCCAAGGTAAAGATTTCACTCTTCCCTCGTGGAAATCTTCAATTTATTTTAAGAAGGGAAAGCAGTGTTCAGAATTGTGATCTTCAGAACTTCTCAGAACATCTTCACCAGAAAATGTTTAGGTTGTCTCTGGAAATCTATGAGTTGATGTGATCAGGCCCTTTAAAAAATTCTTAGTACTCTATTCAAATAAATATACAGTGATGTACATCGCATTTTTGACTCTTTTGACTCCAAAGAAGTTGGTAGATGTGATCAGATGTAGTCTTCATGATTGACTGTGGAAATAAATGGATTCACAGTGAAGTGAAACCAATTTCCTTCAAACCTATTATTTTGTTCTTCTTGTACTTGTACATGGTTAGTTATTGTGATCATTTTGATGTGTCCCATTTTCTCAACAAGAGGAAATTTTCTTAACGTCGTAGCAGGGTCAGTGATTGTTTAACATGGAAGAGAGAGTTGTTAGGCCTCTTAATTGTAATATGCAACTACAATTATATTATGAAGCAAGCAAGTGGCTAGCCTGTGTCGCAGACGTAATTTAAACTCGGTTAGTAACTTCTGAGAAGAAGCGCCAATATCATTGTTCTGGGCCCCCAACAGACACAATGAATCACCAGAAGTGCATTTGGAATTTCCTTTCATTTTGATTGGCAAATCAAAATGGCTTTTTTATCAGGCCAATCATGCTGGTTCTCAAATCCAGGTACACAGGTGGGGCCAGAACAAGGATTCTGATGCTGTTTCGTAGGTGGACTTAACCAGAGTTAAGTTTTGTGTGTGGTGCAGGCTACATGTAGCAGGTAACAGGAACTCAATGTTTTTTCTTCTTGTAGGTTTACATTGCCTTAACACCTCCTGCCATTCTCTTGGCTTCATGGCTGACAAGTCGCGAGTGTTACCCTGACAAGGTTGTTATTTTACTGGTCATGTCAAGTGCATTTGTCATGGTGCTATTTTGTTCAATGGAAGATCCTTATGCTTATTACAAAATGTCTTTTACTGATGGAGTCTTTGGCTTCATGATGGCTGTTTCACTGGCTTTCTTCACAGTCCATGCAAAGAAATGTCTATCCCAGGTATGTTTGTGAATGTACTAATTTTATTTATTCACAACCACATTTTGATTACTATCCTGGTGGATACGTACACTTGTACACTCTTGTTTTACGTTTTCTATGATTGCCACCTCCATGATTGATCTCCGTTCTTAAGGTGACCATTGTTGTGAGGATATGTTTGACTGTATGAATATAAAGCAGTGTGTAACCTTGTGGAAATCCTTTCACAAACTTGTTTATATTATCTTAAGAGATAAATGCTAACTCAAAGGTCTTAAAACATCTGACCTATTAGCAGTACATATAAAACCAGTTTCAGTTTCTGAAACAGTTTTTAAAGTCCTGAAACTGAGCACTTTATAATTATCTACATGTGTAGGCGTTGAAAAGCCAGTTTAATGCTATAAAAAATGCCCAAGGTTGTCGCCCAAAATTTGCAATTGGATGTTAGTCATGAACAGAGTTCTTAAAGCTTGAAAATTTCTATGTTTTAGAGGGTGTTTTGTAATGCCTGTTCATTGCCTGCGAATGCAGATGTGTTTCCTGTCATTGCTTTTCTGCACCGGAAAAGTAAGCGACTAAGAGAAGCGACAGCCAGAAATACATCCCTGTTCACAGGGTAGCTTGTTCATGGTCAGCATGAGATATCACACCAGTAAAATCTTGGAAAGTTTGAAATACAGTGTGTCAGGTGCTTAGACCCAAGAAGACATTGGGTGAACTACACAACATCTTGGTAACACAATCAGTCTGCCGCGAGGCAATGTAGTTACGGTTTGTGAAATATACTGGATAGGCTCGATTTCCTCCGCTCTCTTAGTCCTGTTCTGGCGAGGAGCATGGGCTCATTTCCTGACCAGCGGTTGGTAATCGAGCCTAAAGATTTCCCTATTATGCAGGCTACCTTGGGGAAGGGACAAAAAATTTAATGATCACGTACCGATGCTTTAACTCTTTATGCCTCAGCATCCACAATCAAATTCTCTAGACTTACCTCTATTCCCTTAATTAACTAGTTGAGAATAATTTGATCAGAGATCAAAGCATTTTTCCCTTTGGTGATCATTTTAGGTATTCTCATAACCATTTCTTTTGTTGATGTATTGATGTTTATAAAAAATTGATATTTGTCACTCTTGGGGCTTAAAGGGTTTAAAAAAGGTGGATAACGCTGTCCACCGGATTAATCTCTACCCACTGGATAGAGTAATGATTGGTTTCCTTGATACTTATCCACTGGATAGAGATTTATCTTGTGGATAGCGCTATCCAACGTTTGCGAACCGGGGCCAACGTTCTCAGTCTGTCAACTGGCTGCCAAATGAAGAGTTGCTGCTTAATCGGAGGCCAGTTAACCAGACTTCATTTGAATGTTATTTGTCTGAGTCAGGTTATTCTGCCTTTGTTGTAGGCTACACTGGCGGAGCTGCTATACCATTTAAATTTTAGTTGTGTTATGTGTCTTCCCTTCATTGCTTTACTGCTGGGTGAATTGCGATTGCTTGGAACAGAGCTCTTTGAAAGAGTAAAGGTCAATCACGTTATTGGTGTGCTTATTCTGGTAAGTTGGTGAGGTGTGAAAATACTGGTTACAAAAACAATGGAAGAAGTTGTGAAAATATTTATAATTGTTTTTGAATTATTATAATCTTTAAGGCGAACTGGTTTATAGGTATTGCCCTGTGGCATAGATATTTAATATTTATTCCGTCACTCCTTGGACTAAGTTGTTGCTTGTAACATCTCCGTACATATCAAAAAATCATTGAAAATTTTAGCCATTTATATTACATGGAGGTACTCCTTTAAATGAGAAATTCTTTGTTAAAAACTCAAATTGTTTCAAAACTTGCCCATTCGCATTTCGGCACCCAGCTACCCGTACTCCGCTCGTTTGGATGATTAATATTTCTTAATGTTTTGTGAGTGATTGTCCTTCTTTCCTCTGAGCCACCAGCAACGAGCGAAAAAGTAAAATCATACAAATTCCTCCATCGTTCTCATGCGTGCTCTCACGTGAAAAATAAGAGACTACTCTTCGTAGTCTAATGTGGGAGAGACATCGTTTTGCAGATTTTAAACGTTTAATGCTGGTCAACAAAAATTCGCAAACTATCTTACCAAGTTGACAACTGAAGGAAAGGCAAGGGCGGAACGAAACTAGAAAAGAGTTTTTTTCAGGTGCAAAATGGTCAGTAAAGGAGATAATGTCCGTGCCTTGTTCCTTTTGCTTTTAGGCCCTTCTCCGTCTGGCCAGTCAGGCATCCTGCCTTTATCAGCTCAAATACTCCACGGCACTCCTGAATGCCACATCACGAGGCTTTGCATGGATATGGATAACTCTTGCCATCACGTTTATGACTCCCGGTCACACTGGTGAATTCCTTATTCCTGTGTTTCTTTCATTCTGGATCTATGGTTTCTTAACATACCTTCCTGCGCTGTGTTCTGATCTTCGATGGATATAAAGCTTTGATATTGGAAATCGTTTGCGCGCGCGTGAACAAAAAAAACGTTATCGGTGAATATTCTTCGTTAATTAAACCAAGTAGATGAAACTATATACACCTCGACTGAATAAACTTGTATCGAAACGACCGTTCGAAATGCAGTTCAAGGACTCTTGCTAAACCAGTTCTACTTTAGCAGGCTGCTAGAACACTCTCGAGGGTGATCGCGAACTGCCGACATAGCAAGTCTCTTTGCTTGCAAGTGATATAATGTCGTTTGCGTCTCTCCGTTGCACAAACGCCCTAGAGGAGAGATGCCTGCGGTACACTCACTTCCAAGAATGTCGATGAACAGCGATGTCAATTGAGATTAAACAAAAAAAAGAACTTTTATGGAAGATTTGAGGGAGGAAAATAGTTTACAAAAAAACTACTGACATCGCCCAGAACAAAAACAAAAAAAAATCGGAATTGCTTATGGCTAGTAGCGTCAGTCGAAAGAGTGTTTTACAATGGCCGAATTTATACTAGAGACGAATTATCCTCGGACGGATAATCAGTTTCTAGTATTATACTACTACATGAAAAATTACTGCAATTTGATTGGCTTAGAGCAGTGGTATTTCAGCTTAATTTGAAATACCTACATGTGAAAATTACAAACCTTTTGCGGGTAGTAATATAAACAAATAATAACATGATTTGTACGTGATATTTGACATAAATACCACTCGTGATATTTCAAAATTGTCTCAAATTTCACTCGCCTAACGGCTCGTGAAATTATGTATAACAATTTCGAAATATCCCTCGTGGTATTTATGCCAAATATCACTACAAATCATGCTATTACCTATACAAATTCGGGGCTAAGACGTATTATGGAGCAAAATTCTTCTGAGGCTGGTTGGTCTATTAGCACGTCTTCAAGACGTGCCAGCAGACGGATAATTCGTCTTAGACGGATTATCCGTCTCTAAATTTATATCTAGACGGAACGTAGACGGTTTTTTGACGAAGTTGCCACAAGAGAGGGACTGGTTTCTATATATATATCTATATAAACATGTAGACAAATTATTCGTCAAAATTCGTCTTCGGATTTATACTTAGACGGATTATCCGCCTGACGGATAACTCGTCTTTAGTATAAATTCGGCCAATAACTGAGCGATTTCTCGCGCGCTGATTGGTCGAGAGCTATGGTCGCTAAGAGTACAGACTATGGAAATGACGTGATGATGGCACAATTTGTTTTCTCTTAGTCTCGCGCGATTTTCCGATCCACTTCAAGGGCAATGGACGTCAAAAGCTGTTAAATCAATGTTATTGTTAAAAACAAATCGACAACAATTTTCCACATTCTGCACCCTTATCGATCATAGAAATGGCATTTGACCACTACATTGGTCTGATTTAATGGGAATTTTCACAGGCCTGTGTTAAGAAGTTTAAATGCTCCGGGGCTCCCCGGGGGGATGTTGAAGTTTCGAATCGGCTTATGAGTAAACTTTAACACAGACTGATATAACATTGAAAATGTTATTGAATCTGTGTAACCTTTACCTCTTACGCCCATCTTGCCCCTACCCTCTGGCTTTTCTGTATTTAATTTTTTTCTTTTTAGTGCAAAAGGGTTATAATAATTATAGTCAGTTGTTTGACTGGTGCGGAAGTGTTGAAATTACCTAAACTGAACGTGTAAGCCAATCTCGAGACCACTTTTCCTGAAATCGCATGCAGTTAGAGCTCAAATAGCCGTAAACAAATCATCAACGCTCTTGTGGGGCGGTTAAATTACTCGTGTAAACCGCGCCTTATCCATTATGACAACAAAATAGCTTTGTGTTTTTGTGACGGGGCCTGTATGTAGACCTGAGCAGTCCGCCATCTTTGGTTCTTCCTTTTTCACAAAACACAGATTTTCAGGGTGTCAAGATTCTGATGGACCAAGGTTGAAGAGCTGAGCCTAAAGTTGCCTGTCAATATCTCTCTAGGTAGATACACTTCGCCTTTTGTCTAAACGGCTAATATACATGTGCATGCTGATAGGTATCAATAACAAGAGTTAGTTTTTAGTTTGATACTGTATGCATAAATTATCTGATCTTTTGACAGCTCTAGAACGACCCAGCCCGCCTTGCCAAAAGGCGAGTCGGGAATGATGGGATCATTAAAATGTTCAGTCTTTCGAAGATGGCAGCCAATCCGGTCTCGTGCAATGTCTTCGTTAAGAATTGTTAGGCTGGGCTTTTTATCAGCAGTAACTAATCGGAACTAAAAACTGATTATTTGAATTAAAGTTGAATTTATTTATGAGTTAATTTACAAAGTATTATTTATACTGATTGCTAAATTGTCATTATTAGGTCCTAGTCTCGAAACACTTAATCGCACAACTGATTTGTATTATGATGGCAGCGTGACGTGTCTGTCTATGCTAGTTAGTTGCACGCGTGGCAGTGACCAACTCGAAAGCCTAAGCTGCTTTGGTCACTGCGCACTTTTCACCTTTGGTGACGTGTAATTTGTTGTTTTATTTTTCCTTGTTTTGTAATGTATTGTAATTTTTGTAGTAACCTCTTGAAATAGTGCTACAAGTAAAATAAATGTCAATATGAAATCTGAATCCGTTTGTGAGGTAATTTATTGGTTTTTTTTCTCAGTTTTCTATGTAACGTTAAAAAAATGTTGAAGCGCCAAATAATGTTTGACGAAGCAAATTTTCAACCAATCAGAAGCATTACCCAGTTCTGAGTAGTGACACGTCATCAGTATGGGACTTTTGCGCTCGTCCCTCAGACGTCATTTCACGGGAAAAGCAGTTGTGGGAGTCGGGAAATGTCAGCAGCTTCCTCAGGCTATCAGTGACCCAAGCAGCGATTTCGTTTCATTTTGTCTGCTTACTGTAGAGAAATGAGGAAAAGGTCTCTATGATAGAAGCCTATCGCGAGGAAAGATATGGACAGCTTTCAGTTGATGCCTTTCTGTTTGCGCAATTCACGCTGGTGTTTTCAGTCATCTTTCTAAAACAAAAGTGGAAGCCTACCGGCTAGTTATAATGTATATGTTAGCCTGTTCCAGGCTCGCAGATATTGGGGGGAAACGCGAAAGTAAAAGGCACGCGAATAGTTGGCTCCCCAGTTTCCTCCCGTGTTATTTTCGTGTTCGCTCTAATCTCAATTCAGCAGTCGACCCGACTACCGTAAAATTCCGAAAATAAGCCCCTCCATGTATAAGCCCCCAGTCCGGTAGCGCAAAAATCCCTCCGTTAAATCGCCGCTCCAAATATAAGCCCCCCGGGGGCTTGTACTTGGAAAATTGCCCTCAAATACAAAGTAAAACAAAGCAAAAACTGTAAATTTACTTCCAACCATAAGGCTAGCCCAATCGATTTTGAAATGCAAATTTCCCTCCGTAGATAAGCCCTCCGAATGTAAGCCCCTCCAAAAATAAGCTCCTCAAAAAGGGCGTTTGAAAAATACAAGCCCCGGAGCTTATTTTCGGAACTGGAACAGGCTATGTATATTTAGGTTTTCAAATTTGCTGGTTCATTGTTTGTTATAATAGACCCGCAACACCTTTTTTTTTAACCTTGCACTCCTACAAGGATGTTATCATATTATTTGAGATAATGTTTATGGCGATTGATTTTTTTCTTCTACTTATTTTCCTGACTTTTTCTCATGTGTCGTTTCCGTAGATCGACTCATGCGCTGTACACGTTTGATTTAATGGACTAATGGTTTGTTCATTATTCCATTATTTCGGCTTCTCGAAAACTGTTTCGTCATTCCATTATTGCCTACTAAAAGGGTATTAATCCATTTTTCCAACTAAAGTTTAAGTTTCCGCTATCACCCGTGTTCCAGTATTCCTCTTCGACCTCCCTGCATACCGCCCGCAGAACTTCAATGCTCGCAGGCTCGGCTAGCTAGTCAGTTTATAGGGAACGCTGAAACGGCAAACTGCTGCAACACGATAATTGGCACAATCAAAACATTAAGAGACTCTTTTAAGACGACACGCATTGGCACGAAAAACAGAGTCCCTTTTGGGAAGACCTTCCATTGCTCTTTGAGGCGGGCCCAAATAGTCTTAGCTGGTGACTCTGGTGCTGCGTGACTTTTTGACTCCATATTAGGACAGCGGTTTGGCCCGAAAGGGAGATTTCCCATCGCGCCCTCCGTCGCGCCTATTTTGAACGGCCATTTTTAACCTACGGTCCACATCCGGAGACGGCTCTGACATCAAAAACAACAATGGGTGGGTTTGACTATTTGTTTCACTACAAGAATCTTCTGTTTCAGATCACTTTAGTCAAAATAACAGGATATGTTCGACTCTGATGGTAGATCCTAAAGGCCAGGTCTGAAAACGGGTATGGATTTTAGAGGTCAGGCCCCAGTTGTTCAAAAGCTGAATAGTGCTATCCACCGTATAAATCTCTATCCAGTGGATATTAAAGTATTAGAGAAACCAATTGTACTATCCAGTGGATAGAGATTTATCCCGTGGATAGCGTTATTCACCTTTTGAACAACTGGGGCCCTTACTGAAAACAACAGTGAATCAGTAAGGTTTTCCTTGTGGTTGTGTTGAAAGTTTGCTCTTAAGTAATGTGTTACTCAGTTCGTATGCAACCAGAAAGGGGGGCTCTAGATACACAGGCTAGGTATTTTTTGATGAAACTAACAAAACTGTGAACACCAAAAATATCCGTGGGATTTTTTAATGGCTTGATCAGTCAATTCAAAGTGTGCCAAGTGCCCTCCCTCCCCACCCTGTCCCTAGGCATTTCAGGCATTTGTCATTTTTTTGGAAAAGAAATTTGTAATAATCTGATCAAAACGTGTGGAGTACCTATCGCAAATCGCTCCTAGCCACTAGTTATATTTATTGCAGAAAAGATTGCGCTTGGAATTGACTGAGCCATAGTGTTGAAAGGAAAATTCCTGTATGTCGCAGCTTTAAAAGTAAGCAGGATAACCAACAGGCTTGAATGGTGTAAGCACCCACTAAACAAACCTAAAGTTAGCCCAAGACCTGTGAATTTTCAGGGTTGTCGCTAAAATTTCAAGTTGCCTGGTATATGCAAGTAGGAGGGGAACTGTGGAGCGAGGAAGTTCTTTTGGTTCTATTTTCCTTTTGTTTCCTATAGGAGTAGCTGGGACTCACACTCATAGTAACCCAGGAAAATCCCTGGCCCCCTGCTCTTAGTGACAGCCTTGGAATTTTAGAAGAGGAATTGAAAATAAGTTCAAAGTGCCTTCTAACCTGGAAAATTATGAATTCTTTTCAAGAATCTTATTAAACGCTTGTTCTTTTAACTTTTGTCCCAGCCACCAACAGCCTTTTTTCATCCCAAGTGACTTAACCTTGGCCTTGATGTCAAAGAACGGAATCTATTGAGTTTCAAGTGAGTTGCATTATGTTTATAAATTTCTATCCAGCCTCAGGATATGTTTTCAGGGAGTGCATGTTCATTGGCAAGTGCCCAGTAAGTGCTTTCCATAGCAAAGACTTCAAACTAACGCATCCCAAAATGTACAGTGGAACCTCCACTAATGGCCATGCACCTCTCCACAATGGCCACTAGGTTTTGGTCCACAAAATTAACGGTCCATACATTGACTCTTGTTTAAACCTCTCGAGAACAAACACCTCTCTACAATGGCAACGGCGACTAAAATGTGTTCCCAACTGCCAAGATACTCTCTCGACAATGGCCATTTTTTTTCACTGACTGATGAAAAACTCTAGAATGGTCATGAAAGTTGACCCGATGGCTTTTCAAAACGTTATTCAAGGTTTTTTGTGTATTTTATCTCTATATAATAATATTATTATTATATTTGATTGGATTACCATTATGAGATACAGTAAGCATGAACTTAGCAAAATAAACATGTTGAAAAATTGTTATATAACATCCTCACCTCCCCATACACAGGAAAAAATAACCGATTCCCATTTTTGGATATTTTAGGGTATTTAAAGAATACCCACAAAAATCCCAAATTTGGAAGAGTGAGACAAGTCCCAATCAGGGAACTTGGTTGGGAATTCCCTGGTTGGGACTTGTCTCACTTTGCCAAATTTGGGATTTTTATGGGTATTCTTTAAATACCCTAAAATATCCAAAAATGGGAATGGATTATTTTTTCCTGTGATAAAGGCCACCTCTCCACAACAGCCACTTTCTTCTGTCCCCAAGGTGGCCATTGTGGAGAGGTTTGACTATAGCATTTAATAGTTGTATAATAATGATAATATTTAACAAAGGAACAATACAGGATCACTCTATTTTATTTCAACTTTGTTATTTCTGACAATATTTAATAAAAATCTTGTATTTCCTTTACCATTACAAACTTGAATGTACTTTGTAACCTGAGTATTTTTCCTAGCATGGTACTTACACTGTACAGTGCAACCTCAATTCAGGGAACACCCTCAGGACCAAGGAAAGTGTCCGCTGAATGGAGGTTGCACAATGGATTGTCAATAATTAACATACAAATAAAAATTATTTCTTTTATTCTGCCCCAGAATCTGCTGCAGTCAATATTTCAAGCAGCTAGATAATGCATAAAAAGCATGTTCAACTTACCTCTGCAAAATTCTGTGTTGAAATCCGTACAAGTGCAGTACATCAATTTAAGTGAGATTTTGTTTTTGTCGTTGTGATAAGTGTACACTCAATGTATATGTTATCAACGCTTCTTGTAGTCAGTCACTATTTTAGTGCTAAGGTGTCCCCTGAATGGAGGTTAAACTTGGGTTTTGGGACCCAGAAAAAGTGTCCCTTTCCTCTGAATAGAAGTGTCCCTTCATTAGAGGTAACAGATGCAAAGATTATGTGAACAATTTTTGGGACCAAAGTTTGTGTCCCCTGAATGGAGGTGTCCCTTGTATGGAGGTCTCCCAAAGGAGAGGTTTCACTGTATATTTATAAATTATTGTCCTGCTCACCTTTGAGCTTGCATTTTGAGCTGCCTATTCACACTCATCTATTGCGTTTTCTATATTATAGAAATGTGAGGCAGCTTGGCCGAGCAGTTAGAGCATGGGACTTGTAGTGCAGAGGCCCTAGGTTCAAGTCCTTCCCTGGCTGCTATAGTTGGGTTTACTGTTCTTGGTAGTCCCGACTTCAAATCCTTGGCCACACTTGTAAAACAGCCAACTGGTTTGCCTCTTACCAGTTGAGTTTTAACTATTTTATGTTCCATTATATTTTTTCATTATCCCTGAAAAAAGCACCATAAGGGGAGATGACAATTAAAGTATTATTATTACCTCTTCTGACACAGCCTTTGCTGGTGTTCTTTTTGTGTATCAGCCACTCAAGTCAATCATTCTTTCATACACTAAGCACCCTCCTGAAGATTCGTTCAGATCCCAGCATGCAGATCTTTTGGGTCTCTGTCACAGTCTCTCTTTCTGATACTTTCTTGATGTTTCTACCATCCACTTCTTTACTGTACCAACTGCATCAACAACTACAGGGTTCACTTCGATTTTCATCTGCCCGATTCTTTCTATTTCTAGTTT